GTTTGTGTGAAGAATGCTGATATGAGATATAAAACATAACGCATTGTCTGTTAACAGACAATTTGTTAAAGGTTCATTTGTATTTGTAAATCTGACTGTAAAAGAGTTGGTGCCTCACCAGCTGTCAACCTCACCGCACGTCACTCATACACCACTTAAATGGCAGCTTCTATACAGCGCATAGAAACAAAAACAAAACATTAAATGGAAAAGTATATCATCAAATATTACAGCAACACAAAGAAAAATACCACATGCTGGACAGTCAGCTCCGTCCGCTGGTATAAAACACTGAGAAATATTACTATATTAAAAGAAAAAGCAATTATCTAAATAACATAACACTTCTCCAAACATTCTCTAATAAAATATAACTTAATTTTGTTTTATATACAGGTACAAGAGTGCTGACTATCCAGAAATTGAAAGACAATCGGAGCATTTCCAAAGGTACTAAAAAATGACATTGGAAAAACCAAACAAATTATTCTGTAAATATGAGGCTTTTAAAACAGAGGGTGAACAAACACACAAAAATTCACATTATTAAGAGATACAGTATGAAAGCCCTAAAAATGTATCTGAAAAAATGTGACATCATACAAGTACTCTGATACTAACACAGATTTAAACTCTGTATGACGGCATTCAGCTCTGTAAATACCAAAGGCAGTGAACAGAAGACGGACCTTTTAGTGGACCGGTTTGTTTTTTAGGACTGCAACTAATGATCTTTCAATTAATAAAATATTTTGGTTTACAAAATGGCAATAAAGTGACAAATGCCCATCACAATTTCCAATTTTCTGTTAGAACAAGTCAAACACCTAAAGACATTCAATTTGCAACGGGGGTCAAACCCTCACATTTGACTGGCTGGAATCAGACTGTTGGCATTTTTGCTTGATAAATGACTTACAAATATCCAGACTGATTAATTAGCTGTTGAATGATTAATTGATGAATACAACATGTTGTATTTGTTTTTGCTTATTCTTAACTTGATTTCAGTCTGACTGACTGCTCAGGCTTAGTGACATCACCATCTCCCCATATCTCAGCAGTTAACTTGGAGAGTACTGTGCGATCATAACTGACAGGAATGATGGTCAAAACTGCAAAAACAACAGCCAAGCTGCAATAAACCAGAATGGTCCTTCAGAAAAGGTAAAGTTTTAAGAGTGATAGCAGGCTGCAGCAGGATGAATGTGGATTTCAGAAGCCCACGCTCTTCACACCACTGACATGGAGGTGAAAATGACAGAAATTAAAACTATAAAGACTTCATAGTTTCTGTAATTACTTAAAACTCTTGAGAACACAGCTGATAAAACACATCCCATGTGTTGTAGACCGTTTACCACATGTAAAAAGTATGTTTCATCTCAAGCTCAGTTTTGACTAAAGATGTTTCCAGATCCAGGCCCAGACAGGACTCACAACTCTGTCTTCTGCCCAGACAGAGGAACCTGCGGTTGGATCTCGTCATCAGACGACACCCCTCCATCCAGCTTCTCCACCGGAGCTTTGCTCTTTTTCTTCTTCTTCACCTTCTTGTCCTTTTTCTTCTTAGTCTTCTTCTCTCCTTCCAAACTGCCATCTCCTCCTTCCTCACCCTTGTTCTTCCCCTTCTTCCCTCCCTTCTTCTTTTTCTTCTTCTTCTTGTCCTCCGCAATGGCTGCCTGGTCCCCCTTCCTCCTCAGGGTCCAATCCTCACTTAGGCAGGCTGGACAGAGAAAAACAGGCGAAAGAACAAAATGGAAGAAGGAAGGATAATGAGTGGAAAACCGAAAGTTCAGAGGAAAGAGGAAGAAACAAATTGACATGATGATAAAACCAGAAAGGCACAAAAAGCAAAGGGGGAACAGAAGCATGACAGAAAAAGAACAAATGAAAAATATGAGAAGACATGAAGAAATAATGGAGGGAGAAAGCATGATAGGAAGGAAAAATAAGCACCTCGCTGTGTGTGTGTGTGTGTGTTACCTGTGTCCTCTCCTTTGAGGACATGTTTCTCACACAGATACATGGTCAGGTCTTCCTCCTGGCTACCTCTGTACCATTTCTCTATCTCGGTCTCATACCGCTCCACCAACACATCACACTAACACATACACACGCATTAGTATAATGTCAACATAATCAATAATGAATATTACACATTTAATAAATAAAGCTGCTGATTTTATTGGCTACAAAATTCTCAGAAAAAAAAACCACTAGGGCTGTATCTAAGGATTTTGTCAATCGACTCAGATTCAGCTGTTCAACTTTTTCTTCTGAGATGTGGTTATACTCGACTTTACCAGCACCTTTGAGCTTCTCCCATCAGTTAACCAGGGTGTATGTTGCTATGTTTGATACATATCAACTTGATATGATTCCTCTTATTTATAATTCCTCATTGAAAAGTTTTCCCGGCTTCCTTGTCCTGTTTGGATGGATGCATGTCACAGAAACAGCCAGTAAATGGCTTTAAAGGAGATGAGCAAACAAACTGGATGCACTTCTAGTAAAGTACAAATCTCACCTTTATGTCTTGTTCTAATGGATTTTGTTGTCCTCTCCTCATTCTGGGCAGCAGTTTGCTGAACAGCGGCACTGGACCTTAATAAATCCATGCATCATGAAGTGTCACTGTTGAAGTGCGTATTCCCCTAGACCACCGGGGGAAGCACTGAGCAAACTGCTGCTTGGCACACCAAAATGAGGAGAAGATGACAAACTAATGAGGGTTGTGGCTGCCTTCTATTGTAATACACACTGGCTGACAAAGAATAAAATATAATGAAATAAAAAACAAAAGGTTCGATTTGAAGAGTGTCAGTCAACCAATGGGTCTCGCATCTAATAACTCAACTAGTTGACTTTGAGGGGGCAGCCCTAAAAACCACTAATATAAAAATCAATTTTGGGAAAAATGGTCAATTCAGGGTTTTGAACAGACAGGAAATGTGAAGGCACCTGCTTCTTGAGGTCGGCCACCTCTGCTGAAGTCTCGTTCCACAGCTCATAAGGAATATCCATCACCACGTTCACTCCTTTATTCACTAAACCGTGAAGGGTGGAGAAGGTCTCTGACATGCCCTGCAAACAGATGCAGATATAAAGGTTTTGTCAAACAGGTCTCTGAAAAGACTCATTTCTAAACTGCTTTTCAAGGCTTTTATTTTGAAGCAGTTGCAAGTGTGTGACCTACGTGTGGAAGTGTTGATTTAACCACGTAACTTGTATCTTGAAAAAAGTGAGTATCCCAGAGAAAGGTCTAAAATTTCAAACACCTCACGAGGCAAAATGAACCTGCAGCCAAACACTTAAACATATTTTAAATCCTATACACATTTGAAAACTGCCAGAAAAAAACAGGAAGTGTTACGAGAGCTAAGCGCAGGTGTCTGTAGCACAGAAAATGATGGTTCTGGAGGTGTAATGTTTTTACACACATTACACTGTGTGTCCAGCTCTATTAAAAATAACTTTGTTAAAACAGTTTTGGCCACAAACGGCAGATAGATAGCATGTAAACAAAATGTTTAGACAAAACAGACCCACACTCGCAGACTGACCTTGGCAAAGCGGTTACTACCAGCTCTTTCCTTGTGCAGACTGTACTCCAGCAGCCTCTTACACACATTTTCTACAACCTCGATGAATCTTAGGTCTCTGTTGAGCGAGACAGAGAGAAAACAAAAGTCAGGAGATTGGTAGATTTCAGATTTAATACTTTGGTTTGAAGACCTGTTCTGGCTACATGACACTCTGATTTTTTTTTTTTTTACATGTAGAGGACCTAGAGATCTACGAGAGGGACAGACTGAAAAATGACCTGACCTCAGCTCTCGCCCCGGGAGCTAACACTAGCCATCAGCTGTTGGCAGACAATGCAAACACAACAGATGAATCCATTTCTGTCCTGGCTGTGCTCAAACTGAACAACAAAGTGGGGCTTTGGATGCAGTTGAATCTGGGATATCTGAAATATTTCTAAACTTTACAACAGGGATAGGATGATACGACTTCTTCTCAATAAGAGTCGATGCACAACATGGTATGTACGATTTGGTTCAATCACGATACAATTAAAATTCAATGATTCAACCAGATATATTGACTTATGTTCTGTTAGGCTCTTATTTACAAAAAATATGAAGTCACTGGTGTACCGGGACCACACGCTATATATTGCTAGACAAAACAATACATAGTGTGACATTTTTGTATTGCAGTATTTTGAATTTTGATATACTGTCCGTACTCTTCAAAGTTCTGAATTTGGGGGAATTTAAGACTGTTCAGACTCAAAGACAAACTCTCACAGGCTAAGTTCTGTTTTCACACCACCAAGTTCAACGGCTTTCTTGTTCTATTATAAGTTCCTGCACAGGAACTGAACCTTACCAAGTTCCTGTTCTTGTGTGTGTGTGTGTGTGTATGAGAGAGAGAGAGAAAGATCCGGAATCATGTCAGCAAGCTCTGTCCTTCAACAAAGAGCTGGGATCGAGGTTCAGTTCCCACCATGAAACTAAACAATATTCGGCTTTGTGACATTTTGTGTAATATCATCACAAAATGAAAACACCACAAACTCAAACTTACGACTTGACATATTTGGTGGGCTGCGCCCCCTTGCCGTCTATGAAGCTGTACTTCGTGTCGATGACTTCTTTGGTCTTCCCCGTCTCATCGAACGCTGACTTCAATTCAATACTGACAAACTTACACACTAGAGAGAAAAAGACAGTTTGTTACTTGAGAAAAATATTTTTCTTACCTGAACACTGACAACATAAACCTGTTGTGAACATTCTGTGAACTTACAGGTTTCTGCAGGTTTCTGCAGTAAGCATAACATTCAACTTTAGTTTACTGCTGATATTATAAAGGGCATTATTCTATATCATTAGTTTTTGATATTTTATAGAAATTTTCTAAATTAAAAAGATTATCAACAACTAAATCAATTGTAGAAAAAAAATATTCACGTTTTTAAGTAAAATATCAGGAAAGAATTAATATCAGCTGGTGTCTGACTTTATAAAGCTTATATTTCTCAATCAGTATCAGCCTTAAAAATCCAGTACTGGTCAGACTCTGATTAGTATTACTAACATTTATACTGCAAGTTTGTCATAATTCTTAGAGCTTCAATAGAAAATTAATTGTCAAGTATTTTATTTATCGATTAATCAGTAAAGTTCTTTTTCAATCTGGTTTCAGCGTCTCACATGTGAGGATTTTCTATTTTGATTTATGAGATAGTAAATCGAATTTTTACACATTACACTGAAATGTCACCACATCTGTGATGGTAAAAAAAATTAAAAAAAAAAATTTTTTCAACTATTATAAAAAACTGACAAAACGATAATACGTTTGTTGCAAGTGATAGTTCTACTTCCACGTTAAACATTAAGCTACATTCATAATTTGGTCAAATTCAGTCTTTAGGAGGATACTGTTGACATGGAGCGATTCAAGCCATTGTTGATGTAAACAGACAATCCCAGTCCTTTTCACCTTGTGGACCACCAGACAATGAATCTTTAGACATGTAGTAATTTCTCATTCTGTGGACCTTTGTACGTCCTGTTTTGTAAACCATACGCTGCTAACAGGCACCGTTACCTTCACATTTGCTGGGAAGATGAACCCAGTCATCGTCCCCTCCTTTCTTAGCTGCTCCAACCGACAAAACTATCCAGCAAACGGACAAGAATGACGGTAAAATCATATCAGCTGCTCAGTATGAGTCTTTATCTAATTATAACTGTAGTTTTATACTTTAACAACTCTGGATAAGATATTTCCTTTTACATATTCTTCTCTTGTTCATCACAGCTGCACAACTGCTCACTTCCGCTTTCGGTGCGACGCACGCCGCGCTCTGAGCCAATCAGAAAGATAGAGGTGGCAGAGCCAAAGAGAGATGAAACTGTAAGAGGTGTCACTCTCAACTTTTATTACGTTACAGTTAAACAGAGCGTACATTTTTCTTCATGTGTAAAATGTTTCAAACGTTGGCATGAGGCAGATAGCCACAAACTACATAATAGGCTAACGTGTTTTCTGTGTATTTAAAGCCTGATAGTTTATTTCTCTGTGCCATAGCTATCAACATTAAAGGAATTATTGATAGTAATGTTGAAGCTAATTACAAACTCAATACGATTAAAGGCTATCATTTTAGACATAGTGGGAGCAAGGTGTTGCAATTGTTTCTGTCAAAGAAAGGGTCACAAAAGAAGCACATTTCTCAGAATTCTTTGTGCTTTAACGAGTTTCGCTAGTAAATCAGAGGCATTAACATAATTGTTTTTATAAATGTGCCCGATTTCAGCAAAAGGCTAAGTTTCATCATTTGTGTCTGGACAAGCCTACAGTTGTTCCACAGCCTGAAACATTTAGCAGACCACAATATAGGTATGCCATCCAGTGCCAAGTGACTCCTCTTCACTGTAGAGTATCTTTGGAATCAGTTGTCATCTTGCAATCTTCGATTTCATCCAGGAGAGGGAGCCATGCACATATCTAAAGCACTGTAAGCACACTGTTGGTTATGCAACATTAAATAGAAAAATGCACACCAAACACATGAATCTATCCATCTTTCTAAATATTGACACAGACATACATTTACATATGTCGATATATCCAGTGATGAAGCCCTTCACTGATCTGAGTGATACCTTCTACACTTTGGTAGTGAAAGTGCCACTGTACTGAAACAGACAGTAGTAGACTTAGTGCATTTACATGCCCTTAAGTGACCTGGTTACGGTAAAACCTTCATATTCTGTACATCTTTTCTTATTCTGCAGCAGGTCAGTGATTTGATTTCTCCCTGGTACTAGACTTTATTTTGGGAGCATGTTTACTATTTTAACTGCAATAGTTTGAAGTAAACACTCAAATGTTCAGTGATGGAAACTGACTTATTTAGACTTTTAAAAGCTACTTTGTGCAGTTTTAGTCAGACTTTAGATTAAATTCTTTTAAACACAAGATGCATTGCCATCCATTTGCTCCTCTGTTACTTAATGTGTAGACTTTTTTCAATCTCGTGTACTTTTAAAAATATTACAAATCACACACACATTAAAAACCCAACATGGCCCAGAATCTTTCATACACAATCTACCTGGAGAAATCAGGTTTCTGTAGTTCCCTCCACTAAATCACTGCTTAAATGACCCAGAAAACTCATCACTACAAAAGTCAAAGCTCTCAGAGGATCATTTACAGTTTCTTCTCACACAAGACCTTAGTATGCTCCCTGGGGAACTCCTTCACACAGGCTATCTCCTCTAAATTCCCAGCTCTCCTGCAGGACCTTTCTCTGCAGATTTTTCCATCCAGAGGAGTAATATTCATGTGTGTGCATGCACCATTGAATATAGTGCCTTTCTGTATGCTTGAATGTGTTTAACTGCATCTGTGTGCCAGAGAAAGAAAAATGTTTCATAGTGAGATAAGAGTGTTTCTTAGTAGTTCAATAATAGTCCAGTTTTTCTGAGAGGTGCTTCAGTGTACTGCCGCCTGCCAAAAGGACAGCCAGCTCCTCATTCCACAGGACACACACGAGCAGGCACACACACACACACACACACACACACACACACACACACACACACACACACACACACACACACACACACACACACACACACACAGATCAGTGTGTGTCTCATAGCAGAACTTGACATTGAGTTGGTGGAGGGGAGGTTGATGTAAAGAGAAAAAATGAGAGAGAGAGAGAAAGATGAAAGCTGGTTTTATACAGCAGTGCAGCCCACACGCTGGCCAAGCAAAGGGCTTTGTTAAAAAACCCTCCTCTCTCTCTCTCCTTTTCAACTGTTCCTTGAATAAAATAATACATTCAGATAATAGAACAGGCTGTTGAAAAGCTCTCTCGCTATCAACACATAGTATAAAAAAGGAGCAAGCTTTTAATATGTCGAGTTGAGCCACAATGCACTGAAGGTTATGTGCATAAACACTAAACAGAAACAGTGATACTGACCTGATCACAAAAAGTATCCCAGTCCAGAGAAACCAGAGAGAGTTGCGATAAGGCTTTGTATTTACACAAAAACTGTTTTCATTATAAACTTCAAATGAAAAACTCTGCTGCTCTCCTTTGATCCCAGTTAGTTTTTTCACAAGACCCCAAAAGTTCAATAATTTAGTACAGATTTTTAGACATTTATATAAAATAGAAGTATTAGTTTTGGGAAGCTATAGGGGGAATGGGGCCGTTTGCTAAGGTAGCATTCGTCTCATCTCAACTCAGTACTGTTGCATGCTACAGGCATACTATGAAATATAATCCTGCAGGTGCCATCATGTCACACCAGAAATCTTTACACACTTTTGTTGTCATAAACACAACAAGTGTACACCTGGCATAAACACACCATCATGGTATCATCTCAGGTTAGGAACAAACAATACTGGGTTGGGTGAAAACACCTGTTAGGTACTAAATTTAAACGCCACTTAGCTGAAAGAAAGCCCTGTGTTTTATGGACCAAGCCATCTCCCACAACCTATTCACATTTTGCTGCTACAGTGGGTATGGAAAGTATTCAGACCCCCTTAAATTTTTCACTCTTTGTTATATTGCAGCCATATGCTAAAATCATTTAAGTTCATTTTTTCCTCATTAATGTACACACAGCACCCCATATTGACAGAAAAACACAGAATTTTTGACATTTTTGCAGATTTATTAAAAAAGAAAAACTGAAATATCACATGGTCATAAGTATTCAGACCCTTCGCTGTGACACTCATATATTTAACTTAGGTGCTGTCCATTTCTGCTGATCATCCCTGAGATGGTTCTACACCTTCATTTGAGTCCAGCTGTGTTTGATTATACTGATTGAACGTGATTAGGAAAGCCACACACCTGTCTATATAAGACCCTACAGCTCACAGTGCACGTCAGAGCAAATGAGAATCATGAGGTCAAAGGAACTGCCTGAAGAGCTCAGAGACACAATTGTGGCAAGGCACAGATCTGGCCAAGGTTACAAAAAAAAATTTCTGCTGCACTTAAGGTTCCCAAGAGCACAGTGGCCTCCATAATCCTTAAATGGAAGACGTTTGGGACGACCACAGCCCTTCCTAGAGCTGGCCGTCCGGCCAAACTGAGCTATCGGGGGAGAAGAGCCTTGGTGAGAGAGGTACAGAAGAACCCAAAGATGACTGTGACTGAGCTCCAGAGATGCAGTCGGGAGATGGGAGAAAGTTGTAGAAAGTCAACCATCAC